TGGTGCCATATTTAAACAGGAAAGTTTGTATTACAATATATATATATAATGTTATATTCACCCTCTTCACACTGTTGCTAATATTAGTGTCATTGTGCTGTAATTACTTGACCTGAGAACAAGTTGTATTCTCTGATGTCYTTCTTGTCTCAGTCAATAAAGCTACGGGCTGTTGGCAGAGAAATGCTGTCACAGACCATCAACAAGAACAAGAGAGGTTTCTAATTATTCTCTCGTCATCCTACTCTCCACCACACTGTTCACCATCAGGCCTTGCGGGTTTGAACATACACAGAAGTTGGAAAACAAAGGCATCATTTTCTCATTTACTTCCAAGCTGATGTTCTTTTTTTAATGACTCGGACAAGCTATTGGTTTTCTTTTTAATTAGCTTCAACAGTAATTATCATAATTATTGACTGCCTACCATTGATATTTACATTCAAAACGATTACATTATTTACTTTCTTCTGAGAAGGCAGCAGCAGCTGTAGGATAAAATGAAGTGAAACTATCAAACATATTATAAGTCAGTAAAGTCACCTTTACCATTCAGCCTCAGATTAATGAGACTCAACACATCAGTCTGCTCACACACAGAATCATAGGAGTGTGTAGGCTGTAATTATATTTGTGACATGAGGAAATCAGTTTCTTGTCACCAGGTCTTTAGTGAGCAACTTTTTCTAATTATGTTAGCACCTCAGCTTCTCTCAGTATTTCATGCCACAGGGTTTGAGGTTGAAATTGATTAAAACCTGAAGTTTCATTTTCCGTGCAGTCGGACAAGCAGATTGATTGACTAAAGGTTTACATTAGTACAAGTGAATAAAACTGCTTTTAGAAGCTCTGTATTTGGCTGCTTGAATATACAAGTGTGTATTTTAAATTTATAAACATGTGGAATCAACTCATTTCTCATTAGACACCACAGATAATTGACAGCCAACACAAAAATGGTCATTATTGTTACCTTTACAGATGCTAAGCTAATTTTGGTGTAGGAGTAGCTAAGAGTTATTCACCCCACATTCTCTAAGCATTAAATACAAATTGCCAAACCTCACACTGCTGCGTTTGATTGTGTGTAGCATCGTTTGACCAAATATTTACCAAAAAACAAAAGATTTTTCCTCTTTTCTTCAAAAGATGAATTTTAAAGCTCTTGATATGATATGCTATCCTTCAAAAATGTTTGGCCTTTAAATTCATCTGCATTTAACAGCTTCACAAAAAAAGAGATGCAGCCAGCAAGTTAGTAAAAGGAGCGAGCAGATCTTTCATTAAACAAGCTCTTCATTCTTGATAACTTTAATAACTTTCCTGAAACACTCCAAGCTTCTGCGTCCCTTTTATCATAAATACCAATGATCTCTCTCAGAGGGGGAAAAATAAAACTATTGGAGTAGAAAATAGGTAAAAGTGTGCATTAGTTCACATTTTCAACTTTTAAATGCTTCTTCTTTTATTAAATTAGACAGTCACGATGGATGATTTCCCAGCTACAAAAGCAAGACAGCAACAGAAACTGAAATATCTTAATTTGAATTAAGCTAAAAGCAATCTGCTTCCATATTATGAGTCTCCTTCATGGTGCCAAAATATTTGTAACCTTCTGGTGCATACATCTTTGAGCTATTACATCTGAGTTTTAGTACCAAATCTGTTGGAGTGTGTTGACTGGCGATCTGTTATGGATTAGACAGAAAAATCAAAACTTCTTCTATTTTAAGCAAAAGTGACCATTGCATTATTCTAACATGCGTGGATTCTGGAGGTTGTTTCCAATAAAATCAGCAATGTTAACTAAACAATTGCTTTTATCAGAGGTGCTAAAATACCTCAGAAGATACAATTTTTAAGCCATGTGCCATTATCTTTGTCTCTAACAGACTTATCTTCCTTACCGTCCGGAGCCCGCCTCGGTGTATCTCCTGGATACTCATTGATTAGTTTTGATGGATTAAGCAGCGGCTTATGTTTTCCTCATGTGAAAACAGCCTCTCTTGTTTGCCAAAAGTCATGTATTGACCAATGCAAAATGTCAAATCCTGTGGGACCATTGCCTGTCAAAACTGTACACTTTCTTGTAAGATACATGTCTAACGTTCTTTCAAAATTTTACAGATTTAAGGGTTATAGTTGTGTCAAACCTAAAAACAGGTTTGATAAAATATCAAATCATCATGTTTTTTTTATTTACTGTACATGTTCCATCCTATTATATAATTTTAGTAAAATAGTGATGTCATGTCGATCTCTATTTTTTTGTTTGTTTGTTTTTTCCACAGCAATACATCTATTGCAATTTTTTGAAACACCCGGTGGTGGGCAGCGCTAACCCAAAAATTAGCTCTGCAATTTCTAAGGAGCTTATGAAAATATTTAGGTCCGCAACTAAAAAAACACTTATGCCATATAAAAGCAGCAGAAGCTAATTTTAAAGCACAAGTTCAATTTGGCACTTAATAGCTGGCAACAATTTAAGTACAATATTTGTACAACACTGCCAACTAGCGGTGTATGAACCCTTGTACAGCTTAATCCTACAACCCCCGATTGCTGGGGATGTGATTTCCTGAAACAGAACTTTGGCTCCTGGTGTAAAAATTAAAAACTTGATGAGGCTTGCTAGTTTGGCTGCTTCTTTGTCTTTTTCTTTTGTTTGTTGTAGATTTTTCATTAAAGAAGTGAAGAAATTTTGTAACTGATTAATTGAATATCAGATTCAGTTTTGTATTTTATGCTTTCTGATCTTTTCAGTCTGTAAGGTTGAAGCTGACAAAGAGTTGGTGTGTTATCATGTGTTCTTTCTCTTAGCCTAAACAAAACTGGGTGACGTTCTGACATCTGACGTAAAAGGTAACACCTCCTGGGGTATAACCAGGAAGGGATGAACATTATAAGCTGAATTCCTTTTTACAGCAGCAAGAAGTTGTCAGTGTTTTGCAGAGTGTCTGCTCAGAGCAGATCTCTCTTGTTTGTTTTGATTTGGCCCAATGTTGTACGCTGAGGCCTGTGCTGCTCAGTGCTGAATGAACCTGATTGGAGTCAGAGGACTGAAAATAAAGTTTTTAACAAGAAACCCAGCTGAATCCTGTTTATTCGGACATACCATTTTGAACAGCGCATATTTTTTCCAACAGAAGCATCAATAAAGCAGTTTTAAAACTGTTAATTGGAAAACTGAAGCGATGCTTTCAGGGTACATGATGGATTTGAGTTGTGACGGGAAACGAAGGTTTTCCATGTAGTTGCTTCAGTTGACCACTAGATGTCTGTCTAACCCCGTTGGTGGATTGCTTCGACCAATTACGTCAAGTATTGAGCTCCAGCGTTTAAACTTTTTTTTTTAAAAAAGGAGCTCCGATTGTAAAGTAAAATAAATTGATACATACAAAATTTTAGTATGGATTACAAACGTTTACTGTTTTTGCTTGGAAAGGGAGTACTAAACATCGCCTTCCTGCTACGTAAGCAGACACAAAGCATTGTGAGAAATGAGAACCGTGACCGAGAGCAACAGTCAGCGAGGATGTATATGTTTCCAATAGTGTTTTTATCTGGGAGGGGTGCTGTTAGACAGATCACATGTGTTGTGATTCATTGACAGCCATACCTTCTGCTGCTGTTCAAGATAATGATGACTGGTAGATAATTAGTTATTAGTGGTACTGCATGTTAATTTTAGAAAACGCAAATCTGCTTGTGAATTATAAAAATTAGTAAGACCGCTAAAGCGCAAATGAATTATTTAGGTCTGCAATTAGCAGATTTGCTGGTGGACTGGTGCCCACCACTGGAAACACCATATACAGTTCATCTAGGTTATAACTCTCTGTGTGTCAGTGGTGTTATTCACTAACAGTGCTGTACATCAGTGATCGTATTAAATTGTTGATTGTTGCTGATGATCAAGAGGGAGTCTGTAGTACAAATTAGGAAATAATTTTTTTGTCCATTTTTTCTTCAGACAGAACTTGGAACAAGCTTCCTTCACCTCCTCCTTATTTTCTGTTTCTCAGAGAAGCCTTTTAATCATCTGCAGGCTCTGGCTTACTGCAACTGTGTCCTTTGATGTTATCAGATAAGCCGATATGTCTTTGCACATGAAATGTAGATGTTGTTTACTCAGCTGTGTGATCAGGTTTGGTAACGTCACTTCAAACATGTTCTAGTTCTGAATGAACCTCTGCAGAATTTACCGTGTTGTGATTGGAGCTGAAGTCATAACGCACAGCCTACAGTTTTTCTCTTTCATGAATAAGTCTGAAAAGCATTTATCTTTCATTGACAAAAAAGTGTAATACTGTTTGTTTTGAGCTTAATTCCGCCATTTCTGAGTTGGAGATTTGTTTGGCACAACAACCTTTGTGTTTACCAAATAACTTCTGCTCTTTCTATTTAATATTTTTTTCTTTCTCCGAGTGCAGATGTGCGGCTGAGTTTTGAGCTTTCATACAAATATTAATTCTTGCAGCCTGCTGAAGTGGGTGGCCCAGAGCACGAACAAGTGGTTGATGTAAAATATTTAAAGATTGTTGAAATATGACTGACTTCCTGTGGTTCTGAAGAGTTTTGATGCAATTTGGAGCTGCTTGGGTTGAGGAAGTGTTCAAGGTTTTATTTTATGTATCCTTTATTTTTATGACTGCATTCAGCCTTTTTAATATRAGTGGACTCACATTAACAGTTGCTTTTAGAAGATGTGGATTTATAAAGAATAATGCACCTATATAGGCACTTTAGATTAATGATAAACACTGTTCACAAAATGTCAAGTGAATATTGGTTGTAACAAAYCCATGCACCATGGGAGCAGCTTTCAGTAGAGCTTTTATTGCAGAAGGACTAAAGGATTCATGTCCTCAGATCAAGAGCTGTAGAGGCCACACTGGTCTTAATCTGTTGCAAAAAATGTTCCAAATTTAATGACTAATTAAATAAGTTTATTCTCTCAGCCTCACAAACCTAACATGTTTTTAATCTTTTTTTTCCAGCTGCTATCCTTGATGATCCAATGGAGTGCAGCAGAGGAGAACGTTTAGCCATCACGCTGGCCAAAAACAACATCAACCGGAGCAGCAACCGCTCCACCACGAGCAAGCTGGAGGTGGACATCTTTGAACTGCTGAGAGACAGTGAATATGAGATGGGAGAAACAAGTGAGTATAAGGGGAAAATACTAATGAAGCGCTGAGGAGAAGTGTGTGTGTGTGGGTCTGTGTGTGTTATTGTGTGTGTGGTGCAGGATTATCTGGTCAATATTAGTGTTTGTGCCAAACTTGAGGAAAAGAAAATATTAAATGTGATGCAGACCAGTCAGCAAACACACAAAAACTAGTGTCTCGTAAACCAGAAAGTCAGCTTTTTCAAATTGTGCAGACAGTTTTTCCATTTAATGATACATGGTTTTGTGTGTCACACATTTTACCTGAGTAAACTTCCATATAGAAATTGACAGACTGGCACATTGCAGAAACTCTGAAACAAAAAATATTTTCTAAGATGACTTTGGTCTCATGTAATATAAGACACTTTTGAGATGTTTTCTCTGATTTTTACTGTTTTCTCAAGTGCAGTTATTCAATTTACTGTAATGTAATATTACCTTATGAGTGGTCTTCTAAAAGACAATTCAATTTGGTATATATATTTTAGACAAGAAATCCACTTTTGAAATATGAAACAAAAATTAAGAAGAGTTTGTTGGAAATGTTTGTCCAACCACAGAGTTTAGAAACTATAACTAAAACCAGATAAGAGTTTTTGCGTGTCTATCTAGACAGGAAGCTGGAAAATACATATGAATGAAAAAATGTAAGAAGGCAACAATATCCTATAGATATATGCAGGTAGTTGTTGAGGTGTGACCCCCAAAGGTTTTTAGATGGCTCTACAAGGCCATAGTCCACCCCATGCTATGCTATGCTGCTTTAGTATGGTGGGTTTGAGTTCAAGTTGGGGTGGCTGCATCCAATGCAGACAGCAGTGTTACTGTCACATAGGTATGAGGACATACTGGCATTATTGGTACTGAAAGAGCTGACAACCTTGCAAAAGCTGGCAGTTAGGGCCACTTCAAAGGACCAGATCCTGTTCTAGAAATTTCAACAACATTCCTTAGGACTGTCCTACAGGCCTGGATTCAGTCCGCTGGAGGGAGCTGGCAGGCTGTAGACAGGCATGAGAACTGATAAATGGTCCAAATCTTAGGTTTGGGAAAGCTCTCATCGCCCTGACAAGGAAAACTTAGAGCACACTGGTTGGAATCCTAACTGGGCAAAACCTGCTCAACCACTACAAAATGGTGATGAGACTCCATGACAATGGTCTGTGTGATATCAGAGACCCCTTTGCACTACTTAGGCCACTGCCTGGCTCTGAGAAGTCAAAGAAAAATAATTCTTGGGAACCCTGTTAAGGATCCTGAGAAGCTCAGAACACTGAGTGTTTCTAACCTTGTGTCCATCTGAGAGATGCAAAGGTTTGATTAAAGCTCAGTGTCTTTTTGGGGAGAGCAATGAGTCCACTTATGAGGCTCCTGCTCACAAGGATTCTTTATCCATCCCCACTCACCATAATCCATAACACCTGAACCTTTGCATGTAGCTGTATAGTTGTTAATGTTTTTAAGAGACTCTCAGATCTGTTTCCAGGCACCATCATGCAATTCTTTGTGACAGATGCACTCACAGGGATGTTGTTAACACTAACTAAAGAACCTGCTTTTTATAGGTCGCATCGACACCCTTAATCGACATTTTATCCAGGACATTAAGACACCATGAGGCCACCTCACACCTCAGTTTTTATTGGTTAAATTCTTGCAATTTCTCTTAAAAACACTTCAAAGCACAGCATGTGTTTTTAGAAAATGACCAACATTAAACGCAGTGACAAGAAGTGGAGGGATTGATTTTTTTTTATATTCAAACAAACACAAAAGCTTTAGTTTTGCTGCTGATTCTGTAAAAACACCAGTTCAGTCTCCACGTCAATAGGAAACTGTTATTTTCTCTCTGCCTGGATACCAACAAATCAAGACTGAATCTTGTTGCAGTGGTTTTCTGTTTGTCTCCGTGTGTGCTTGTGTGTGCAGAACAGCATGGTGTGTATGAGTTAGTTTGTGTGTACAAAGTAAAAACGTCTTCTGTATATTTGTGTGTGTATGTGTGCACGATTAAAGCCAGGAATTGGATTAGGGATGGATCAGTGGCCTCAGCCAGATGGAAATATCGAAGCTGAGCTGCCAGCAAAGAAAAGTTGCTTGCATATGTTTTTCCACATACACGCACAGACAAATACTGTCTGAGTTTTTTTTTTCTTTTTTTAAGATGGGGCGAGGGGTGTCTTGAATGCATTGTTTAAAAGTTGCAGATACAGTGTCTCATTCCAACACATTCTCACTCCCGAGTCGTCACATATTGACGTTTTTCAAAGGTCCCTTTGCGTCCAATTTTGACGCATCAGGTACCCCCCTCGCGTCAGTCCTT